CTCCGGCAATCCTTCCGCCTCAGCTTTCCAAGTAGCTGGAACTACAGGCGGGCACTACCACACCCAGCTGATTTTTGATTTATTGTAGAGATGAGGTCTCACCAAGTTGCCCAGGCGGGTCTCGAACATGCGGGCTGAGGCAATCCACTCACCTCAGCCTTCCAAAGGCGCGGGATTACAGACTGAGCCACCGAGCCCAGCGAGACCAGAAGTCTTGTTAGGTCATGGTGATAATCTATTTCATTCTAAGTGGAGAGTGGAGTAAGCAATCACAGGAAGACTATTCAGCAGGATTGTGCCATAATCTGATTTCAATTTAAGTCCACTGTGGGTGCTATATGGAAAATGGAATACAGAGGTGAGGCAGGTTGTATTTTCCCAGATATCTACCATCCCACAGCCTCTTGTGCAAGGTCACCTTGACATGCCTCCCATTGAAAGAGGTGAAGCTTATGTCACCTATCCTTGAACCTGGTGCTAGAAGTGATGCAGCATGAATGACACCTGAGACTAGGCCAGTAATGCAGCTTCTTCCTTGTTCGCTTTTTGAGCCCTAGGGTGTGGAGTGTAGTTGTTCCATGAGATCTTACTTCACCACAGAAAAGAATTTCAGAGCAAGTCCAAAGTATAGTTTAAGACAGAATTTATTAGAAAGAAAAAAAGAGCCGGGCTCGGTGGCTCAGCCTGTAATCCTGCGCTTTTGGGAGGCTGAGGTGAGTGGATTACCTGAGCCCACTGGTTCGAGACCCGCCTGGGCAGGAAAGACCTCATCTCTACAATAAATCAAAAAATTAGCCGGGCGTGGTAACGCGCGCCTGTAGTTCCAGCTACTTGGAAGGATCACCAGAGCCCAGCAGGCTGAGGCTACGGTGGCAGGGAGCGGTCACTGCACTTCAGTCTGGGTGACAGAGTAAGATTCTGACTCAAAAAGAAAAAAAAATCTGCAGCCTCAATCTACTGGACTCAGGTAATCTTTCCGCTTCAGCTTTCCAAGTAGCTGAAACTACAGGCATGTGCCACCATGCCCATCTAATTTTTTTATTTTTATTGTAGAGACAAGGTCTCACCATGTTGCCCAGGCTAGTCTCAAATCTGTGGGCTTAGGCAATCTTCTCGCCTCAGGACTTTTTTTTTTTAAATATCTCAATGTTTACCCTATTTTAATTTCGATCTGCCTAAAAAAAAAAAAAAAAAAAAGAACTCACCTATCTGTGTCTAAACTGTGCTAACTACCCTGCCACATGACTATCCCAAGGCCATCATGCTGGGAGAAAGCTCAGGCCACACGGAGAGGCCCATGTAGGTGCCCTAGTCCACACCCCCAGCCGGCAGCTGGTATCAACTGCAAGACCTGCCAGTGAAGATGCCTCCAGAGAGTTCAGGCCCCCACCTCCCATTTTTTGAGTCAACTTTAGCCTCGAAGTCTTCCCAAATGAAAATAAAGACAAGCAATGCCAGCTCTACCTTGTTCAGATTCCTGATCTACCACGTCTGTGATCATCGTAAAATGGCCGTTTTGCACCACTGCGTTTGGAGATGGTTTGTTAAACAACCGGAGTAACTAGAACTGGGGAGCAGGGGGGAAGAGAATTGGGTCGGAGAAGGAGGGGAAAGAGTGGCATCAGGGAAACCAAGGATGGTGGGGGGAAGAGGTTCATTGAAAAGACCGAGGCGTCAGGTGGAGGCAGAAGATGGGAGGGAGGAGAGGAGCTGTGTGCAGGATGAGTTTTGGAGACAGACCCAAGAGAATTTGCTGAATCCCCTAGAAAGGGTGGGTAAGAGGGAAGTCGAGGCCTGCACCACCCTAATCGGAGCTGGAGCCGAGAGCAGGGCAGCCCAGAGCCCGCATCCCTCTCCTCCTCTCCCCTCCCAGCCCCAGGCGACTACATCTCCCAGCATCGCCCGCTCAGGCCGCGGGAAGGGGAAAAAAAA